TTTTGAGACAGAGTTTCACTTTGTCACCCATGCTGGAGTGCAGTGACATGATCTCAGCTCACTGCAACCTCTGCCTCCTGGGTTCAAACAATTCTCCTGCCTCCGCCTCCCAAGTAGCTGGGACTACAGTACAGGCACATGCCACCATGCCTGGCTAATTTTTTGTATTTTTAGTAGAGATGGGGTTTCACCGTGTTAGCCAGGCTGGTCTCGATCTCCTGACTAGTGATCCACCCACCTCAGCCTCCCAAAGTGCTGCGCCCAGCCCATTAATTTTGACAGCTTTGGTGCCGTATGCATGGACATTAGCTCCAAGCTAGAAGAAACTTATTTTTTTTGCAAGGACTTTTTCTTAACTAACTTTAATTGAGGTGTTATAAGACAAGAAAAAAGAAGGAACTAATACTGATTGAACACCTATTTGTGTTGTATAGTGATTTTTTTCCAGTAACGACTTACATAAGTATTGTCATTTCAGTTTTACAACTGAAAGAAACCACGGCTCAGAAAAGGCAATTAACAAGTTCAATTCCCAGAGCGAGGTGATGCTGGATCCAAGCATGTCTCACACCAGCCGCCCTTGGGCGCTCCACCACCTACATCAGGGATGTCCAATGTTTTGGCTTCCCTGGGCCACACCTAAAATACACTAAGGACAGCTGATGAGCTTTAAAAATAAATCGCAAAAAAAAAAAATCTCATAATGTTTTAAGAAAGTTTAAGAATTTGTGTTAGGGCACATTCAAATCCTGGGCTGCCAGTTTGGATGAGGTTTTGACCTACATGGTCTGTCACACCAAGAACAGTGTGTGCTGGAGCGCTGTCCATGGTATTCCTGCTTTACACTATTAGTGTAGGGCTCAGTTTTGAACTGTCTCAACTGAATAACTACAAAGTGTCAAATGCCTGCCGGTTATACTGTCACCTTCTGAAAAAGGTAGCTTCAGATATTTTCTTATGCAGATATTGGCATGCCCTATGTCACAAGGGTCTACAGCCTTGCCAAGACAATTAGGTAAAGACAACTAAATCAGTGTTTCCCAAACCTTAAAGTACATGTGTCACCTGGGGCTCTGTCATGCTGATCAAACAAGAGACAATTAGATCACAGGCAATTGAGAAGGTGGGTTGTGAGAAACGTTTAGGACATTTTGAGTGTGGGCTTCTCAAATATTACTGTGTATATGAGGTTATTTATTAAAATGCAAAATCTGACTCAGTAGTTCTGGGGAGAGGCCTCAGAGTCTGCATTTCTAACAAGCTTCCAGGTGATACCAGACCACAGTTTGTGTAGCAATTGTCTATACCACTGGCTTGTGAGGAAGATCAAGAACT